GCCCCGTTACAATCGCCGCCACGAACCCAATGCACGTGCCGTCGATTGTGTCAACGGAGGCGGACACTATGGCTGTAGCTGCCCGTGAAAGGGTGGGCGATGGAAACGTCTGTGCTGGCACCTGCTACTTGGCATCTGCTACTTGGCACACTGCTTTAGGTTTCCAGCGAGTCTGACTCCGCTTCATGTTATAGATGAGGTAAAACGTGCTCTTCGTTAACAATGTGGTATGTCAGAAGACGTGGCAATCCTTTTGAGAAGCATAGGCAGAGCTTGTCGGCGCGGACTACAACACGTCCTGCATCTGCTTTAGGCTCGTATACACACTGGCAGGGGCTGCGAAACTTCACACACACACTTGTCGCTGCTTCACAAAAAAGACTTCGCCATATCTTCGATTGCGGCAGTTTCCACATGGTCCGATCGGCGGCGACAGTCTACTCGTTACTGGTCGTAGTGGTAGCTGCCATTTCCCAGACGTTTCCGAGAAGACCACAGGCTTTCACGGACCAGCGAGACGTAGACGGTCTGCACAGTATCCCGTAGCTACTCGCTCAAGTCGTGTTCTTGTCACCGAGGTCGGTAACAACACAACGCGGCACGACCGTGACCATCGCAATTGGGATATCCACATCCACTCTGATCCGGAGCACGTCACTGTCACGCGCGTGTTACGAAACACGGTCGAACGTACACGACGTAATAAAGTGTGATTGCTCTTTAGCTGCTGCGTCAGGTGGAGAGAACGCCACGACGTTGCGAGCCAATTGATCGTACGGATCAGGCCACACCTCGGGCATCCCTTCGTTTCGCGACCGATAGAGCGTGTGTCTTGTACTACATCGCGGCCATACTTCACCGACCGTATCTGCGGTCGACCAGACGCAGAAAGCGAAAAAAAAGTGTTACGTAGCGACTTACAAGAACAGACTGACGTGGCTCCCCGTCCGCGTTGATACTTCTCCCAGACACAGGTGCAGCCTGTGCACTAACGTTGCGCTGTTTTGCGCCCGTGGCAGACAATCCGTTCGTTTCGCTCGCTAGTGCCGTCTCTCACAAGTTGTGGTACGTTTTTCCGCGGCATTAAAGTCGAGAACGAAAAGGTGCGCTTTCTGTCAAAACGATCGACGGCGTTTCCCACTTATACACGCGACTTCAACCTGACTGAAGTCACTATACACTGTGGGTATGCGATTGGGGTCTCCCCCTCTAAAGCTCAATGACCGACCGGCCGGCCGACCTGCCACGACTCGTGTTGACAAGAAGGTGTCCCGGGCAAGACATTGATACGCAGGGGACGCGCCTCGTTCTTGGCGCCTTCCTGTCAGCGACCTTGAAGTTGGCCGAGAAGGGGGACGGTCTATGGGTCCAAAGATCGCGTGCGTAGGATACAAAGCTCGAGTGGTGCGGGAAGGAGAGGTCGTGCACAGAAGGGGCGCTCTCGCGGCCTGTTCGAGCCCCCGCGCTCTCTCTCTCTCTAATTAAAACAGTGGCCGAGTCCATTCGACCACACGCTGTGGGTCGTCGTCGTCTTTTTATCCGCCTCTTCAGTCATTAGACGAAGCGAAAGAGCGCGCCTGGCTCTGGCCCATTTCCTGGAACCTGGTGCGAGGAAAGACCACAGTCCAGTTGCGCATTGGGGGGGGGAAGAACGTCTCGTTTCCCGCTCGTGGCCACGCCCAGTCGTTGCAGTATGAGGGACCCCCTCGCCATCAACCGGCCGCACCAGCAGCTCCAGCCCCAATGGTGACCGCAGCGGTCGTAGCGGTCGTAGTGGTTGCATAAAATGAAACTCACGCCTATCGCGCCCTAACGCCCTCACTACTCATAACGGAAATAGCTGCCCAAGTGAGTGGCAGTAGCGACTGACTGACCGACTGCCTGACTGACTGACTGACTGCCCGACTGACTGACTGACTGCCCGACTGACTGACTGCCTGACTGGCTGACTGATCACTCGAACACGTTCGACCAATCAACTAATCCACTCGGTCCATTCCTCGAACCGCATAGTCAAACCATGACGGGCCCACCGACTGTCCAGACGGTATCCACGACCACCGCCACCTCCGAGCACGTCCTCCCTCTGCTCGCTGCGCCCAACTGCCGCGACGAGCGCCTCGAGCGCTCGGGCTATGTCTCGTTCGCGCTCAAGCCCGAGCCGCGCAGCCACCGCCGGCAGTTCGCCACGACCACGTACGGGTCCATGCCCGTTCGCGCGTGCGCCCCGCCCCGCAAGCGCAGCGGCCTCCCGCTCGCCCCGCGGCCGCGCGAGTCCGACGCACTGCTTGGCAGCAATGGCAGCAGCAACAACAACAACAGCAATGGCAGCAGCAGCGACCACTCGAGCGAGACAGAGAGCGACAGCGACAGCAGCTGCACCGCCAGCAGCAGCACCGCGTCCACGTCCACGTCGCTTCAGTCCATTCTGCGCATCCCGTCGGCGGACTTTTCCTGCCGGAGCCTGAAGAAACACACGTCGGTAGAGTTTGCGCTCGAGATCCGCCACGTCGACGACGACGACGACAATGCGCGCAACAACGCGACGCAGCGACTCGACGCGCGCTGTATGCCGCGCCGCCTGACAATGGAAGAAAAGACGGCGCTGTACCAGGTGCGGCCCGACTTGGAGCTCGTGCCGACGGTGCTGCTGCTGTCGGAGCTCGAGGAGCTGCAGCGGCGGCGCCAGCGCAAGCTCATGGTCTCGCTCCTGGGCGCGTCGCTCGTGCTGCTCATGATGATCGTCTTTTATTACCTCGTGGCGCAAATGTAAACACCACACGAGGCACCGGACGGCGGGAGCTCGTCGTCGGATTGGCTAATGCAGCGCGTGGTCTGCCGGCCGTCCTGCGCGTGTGTGTGTGTGTGTGTGTCGAGTGCGTGTTGCGTGCGTGTGTGTATTTTACTTTATTTTACGTGGTAGTGCGGAATTTTCAACATAGAGAGGCGAAACGTGTCGCAAACCGTTGGCAGTCGTGCATTCATTTATTCGAAAGGCCGTATCCCTCACGAGGCGAGGCGCTACCATTACTGTTACACCCACCAATAGCCGTCGTCGATCTGAAGTAGCAGTAGCAGCAGCAGGAGACGACGTCCGGTCGTTGTCCCCCCTCTCAAATCGCATACGCAGCAGCCATCCACCCGCCCTCCGATTCCCCACTCACATATCTCGATCTTTCCAAGAAGAAGACGAAGACGAAGAAGAACAGCGCGCGGCCTCTCGATCGTGAGCTGCTGCCGTCTCGTCGCGCCTTCTCTCCCCTCTCACTCGCCCGCTCGCTCTCTCTCCATCAACAACTGGACTCGCTCTCTGTCCCCCAGCAGTGCACCTGTTCGTAGTGTGCCCGCACGTCCCCATGACGGCCAACAGCAGCAGCTTTAAAGACCGCGAGGCGGCGCTCCTGCGCGAGCTCTCGGCCTTGTACACGAAGCTGAACGACGTGCGCGACAAGCGCGTCAAGGAAGAGCAGGAGAGCGGCGCAGGCGGCGCCAGTGCCAATGCCAGCGCCGACGACGGCGCGAAAGGCGCGCGCCGTCGTCGCCGGGTGCTGCTCGTGACGCGGACGCTGCCGTTTTGGCTCGTGTCGGAAGACGCACAGTCGCAGTGGCGCGCCGAGTTCCGGGCGCACGCGAGTCTCGACGGCGCCATGGAGCTGTTCCAGTCGCTGCACGACAGCTACGACTGTGTGTGGATTGGCTCGGTGCATGGCGAGATTGAGCCCAGTGAACAGAACACGCTGAAGGAGCAGCTGCTGCAAGACCGCAAGTACTACCCCGTGTTTCTCGACGAGAAGCGGGAGAAGCTGTACTATCAGGGGTTCTGCAAGACTGTGTTGTGGCCGCTCTTTCACTCGTGTCCACCGACAACGGACGATCAGATTGCGCAGCACGAGATGATGGAAGACGGACAAGAAGACGACTGGAGTATGGAAAAAATGTGGCAAGCGTATGTTGCCGCGAATCAGGCGTTTGCCGACGCGGTGCAAGAAGTGTACGAAGAAGGCGACTTGGTGTGGATCCAGGGCTACCATTTGACGTTAGTGCCGCAAATGGTACGGAACTTGTTCCCGAACGACAAGGTCTGTCTGGGTTTCTTCATGCACGTGCCATTCCCGTCGGCCGAGCTGTACCGGATCTTGAACAACCGGGAAGAGATCTTGACTGGCATGTTGGCCGCCGACTTGATTGGCTTCCAGACGTCCGAATACGCTCGACATTTCCAGAGCGCGTGTGTTCGCATATTGGGACTCGAAAGCAGTCAGAAAGGCGTGGAATTGAACGGACATTTTGCGCTTGTTGTCGATTGTCCAGTCGGGATTGATGTTGACAAGTACACTGCAATGATGCAATCGGAAGCAGTTCAGGAGCAAATGAAACAGCTGAAGAGTCAATTTGCTGGAAAGAAAGTAATCCTGGGTGTGGACCAATTGGACCAAACAAAAGGACTCGTGCATAAATTGCTGGCAGTCGAAGAGCTGTTCATCCAGAAGCCGGCGCTTGCGAAGAAGGTGGTATTTTTGCAGATCGTGACGGGTGCAACAGTGTTCGAGTCGGCGTTAGAGTCTCAGGTTGAGTCTCTCGTGTCTCGTATAAACAGCAAGTTGCAAGACATTGGTACTGAAGGCCCTGTGCAGTATTTGCATAAAGAGATCGCTGTAGAGGCTCTGATTGCGCTGTATGCGTTAGCTGACGCGCTGGTGATTACACCCATTCGTGACGGTATGAACACGATTCCATTCGGATACGTAGTTTGCCGTGAAGCCACGAAAAAGCCTGCTCGTTTGATTTTGAGCGATTTCGCAGGATGTGCGCAGGCGCTGGGCAAAGCGCGAATCGTCAATCCATGGAATACTCTGGACATTACAAGTGCGTTGCTGGAGTCCCTCCACGATAATGATGAAGTGGTGAGTGCTCACCAGCATATGTTCCGGTACGTGAGCTCCTTCACCTCTCGGCATTGGGCAGACACCTTCCTGGACAAGCTTGACGAACGTCGTGAAGAAAGCGCTGTGTCGGTGTCAGGGCGCGAGCTGAGTCGTCGGGATATGACCTCAGCCTACTCGCGTTCATCACGTCGATTGATTGTTATCAACTACGAAGGCGTGCTTGCTGTTGAGGCGTCCATTCCGGAACTAGCTTACCCACCACAAGAGCTCATCTGGCAGCTGTCTATGCTTACGAATGACCCACGCAACGCTGTTGTTCTTGTGAGTGCACGCAGTACGTCAGTTTGCGACCAGTGGTTTGCTGAGCTATCGGGAAATATCATTCTCGCAGCCGAGTATGGGGTCTACGTAAAGTGGTCGGGGGACAAAGAGTGCTGGCACTGCATGATACCGGATATGGATATGAGCTGGTGGGAACACGTCGTGCCGTTGTTGGAGTACTACACAGAGCGTACACCGGGTGCGTACATTGAGCGAAAAGATAGTTCGGTGGCGTGGCACTACCGTGATTGCGATTTGGATCATGGATTATGGCAAGCGAGTGAGCTCTTGGTCTCGTTGCGCGAGATCACGAGGTACCTGCCGGTGTCTGTGTATCCAGGCAATCGGTATCTGGAGGTGCGACCGCAGAAGGTTAGCAAAGCTGCACTCTTTGAGCGCATATGGGAGTTCATGAATTGGTCATCGCTGTTTCCTCACAAAGATCCAGTAACAACCGACTACTTCGGAGAGCCGGTGTACCCACCTCCGTCGCCAATGATGAGACCGCGCGGGTATCGGACCGAGCTACCGAGTGAGATCGATTTAGCAGCACCGATTCTGGACCATGTGGATTCCCAGCTCACAGGATCTGGCGGAGATCGAAAGGATGTAGCGATATTCAGCGCTCGGGCCGACGCGGTGGTATCCGGTCAACTGGACGGGGTAGACGGGTCGCAGCCAGTTGATTTTGTTCTGCTGATCGCATCGGGTGACGACCGAACCGACGAAGACCTGTTTGCGTTTCTCGTGCCTCCGCCGATCGATCTTGAAGCATACTCCCGGCAGCTCGAAAAGGATGGCATGTCTGACGCGCAACGAAGTGTTGCCAAAGATGCGGAATACAACGGAAAAGGAGTCGACTCGTCAACTGTTGGTGACGTCGGCAATGACATACCTAACAAGACGTTTCGACGACTGTCGGAACGAGAGTTAGGGTCCACACCGCTTGATGAGTCATCGGAAAAGCGACGTTCATCTCTAGCCCGGCTCTCTTCGCTGCCAAATGTTGGGGAATCCACGATGTCGGGAAAAGATGTGTCAAGCATGGTGTCGCGTGCAAAACCTCCGACACATGAAGGTGGTGCGAAGATGTTTCCAGTGTCGACGCACAACCGGTCGTACAACGCGCTCCGCAACGAAATCACGGAGAGGAGCAAATTGACGAGTCGCGACTTCCCACCGTCTGCCGCTTTGTTCAAGGCCATGAAGGCGAAGTACGGCGAGAGTGTTGGCCTTCACAGACTTCCGGATACTGTGGCAGCCTGTTGGGCGCTTGTTGGTCCTCCTGACACGCCTCTGAAGGCAGAGAATGGTGCCAAACCACAAGACAGTAGTGGGCTGGCGTCCATGGAAGAGAATGTCTCCGTTGCTGACAAGTCGGCAGCAACTCAAGGCTCGAACGACGCGGCTGCAGGAGGTGCCAACACAAGCACGTCAGCCTGCAGCGGGCTGGCCGCCCTGCAGCCTGATGGAAACGGCAGCGGTGAGAATGGTGGCAACTCACTGAGAGGCAGTCGAGACCAGGCTCAGAGCACGGAACTCTGTGAAGGCAAAGTGATGGAGCAAAGAGAAGTGGACGATGGCCGGTACCGTTTCCCTGTGAACACATTTGTTTGCACGCTCGGCCGCAAAGTCTCGCAGGCGCCGTACTACATCAAGAACTCGGGCGATTTGTTCCAACTTGTGCAAGAGATGGGCATGAGCAGCCACATTCGAAAACAGCGCATGCTTTCTGTGGACAGCACTGGGCACAGTTAGTGCCGGCGATCTCGGCACGGAAAGACCAGCGCGGCACTTGTGATGGTCAGCAGACCAGTTGTACTATCCGACAGGTGAAGTGCGTGTGCGTCTTTGGTGGGAGTATCTGGTGGGACGTAGTGGTGACTTTGTTGCATCAGTAGGAGGATGGATTGACGTGGAAAAGATGAGACATGCGACTGTCCCGTTGCGACTGTGTCGATCAAGTCTGCAGAATGCAACAGCGACAGACCATGTTGTGCTGACAGTACAGCTTTGTTGAGCAGTCAAGGAGCTTGTGCTGGCAGGACGCGACGACAGAGCTGCTTCGGGTGGGGTATTGTGGCACGGGGCGCTTTGGAAGCGACAAGTACTGTACCAGCAACATGGAAGTGCGTCGCCGTCGCTTTCTCCCCTGCAAGCTCTGTCAATCGGTCATTGTGTATACATGTATAGCAGTACATATTGGACGTAGCACCAGGAAGTGTTGATTGAAAATGCCGGTAAAAAGTCGGCTGAATACACGCACTCTGGTCTTGTGCAAGTAACTATTCGTGTCGTCGGTTCTCGGGTGGCAAACGCACCGCGCAATCGAGGTCTGTCGAGCCTCCAGTTAAGAATAAACCGATCTCGGATTGTCGATATACCGCGCTGGAGTACCGGTCGGTCATGCAACTGGGATTACCCCACGGCACACGCGAATGGAACCCCCGTCGCAACGTGGACGCCCATCCTCGCGGTTATCATAGTGGCGACCAATTTTGGCCAGTAACATGCGACCACCTGGCGCTTTTGTGATCGTCTGACGACGCCTCGGTCGTCACACTCGAAAAGCGCTGCAAAACATGAAGTGGACAGCGATTCTCGTGGCGGCGGTGCTGACGGCCGCTCAAGCGCAGGCGAAGGACGACCTCCCGCCTGACGCGCAGCTGCGTATTGGCGTCAAGCACCGCCCGACGGAGTGCACAGTGAAGAGCCGGCCGGGCGACAAGCTGTCCATGCACTACACAGGCACACTGCGCAAGGACGGCTCCAAGTTTGACTCGAGTGTGGACCGCGACCAGCCGTTCGACTTTGAGCTCGGCGCTGGCCGCGTCATTAAGGTCGCTGTGCAGCAGCTGTGGCGTGATGCAGTCGCGGGAGGAGAGAGCACTGACTTGTTTGATGTTTGTTTTGTACATGGATACGTTATTGCTGCCTGGTGGTTGCAATAGGGATGGGACCAAGGGTGCGTTGACTGGTGTCATTGGAGGAGGACTTTACTGTGTTGGAAGCGGCGACAGGACGTGCCTATTGGTGGTGGCGACGATGGACTGATGTACTGATGACGTTGTTGTTCGTTGTGTGTCATTGTGTACTTGCTGCTCGCTGCAGACTTGTGGACATGTGCATCGGGTACGATGAGTCCACAACCGTGTCAGCTGTGTGTGGTGTGTGGCGATACACTTTTGCTGACGTTTGTTGTACGCATGTATGTGTGCGCGTGTTTTCCTCTTCTCTTACTGCTGCTGACGTGTAGTGAAAAGCGCCGTCTGACCATTCCGTCGGATCTGGCGTACGGTGACCGTGGGTCGCCCCCCAAGATCCCCGCCATGGCGACGCTGGTGTTCGACGTTGAGCTGCTGGACATCACGCGCGAGTCCGATGAGCTGTAGAGGGCCAAAAGCAAGTGCCCATGACGGCAATACGTGTTGGTAGCAGCTTGCCGCTAAGTGGCGAGAGAGAGACTGTCTCTGCGGTAGAATGCAACGCATCGTCTTTTGTTTCACGTGACGCCTTGACTTGCTGACTGTGCCCATGTGCAAACGTCCTGCGTTGGCTGTTCCTCGTCGCACGTAGAGCACACGAGTCCCTCTTGTCCGTGCGTGAACACGAATCAGTACACCCCACATTAGGGTGTAGCCAACCTAAGCAGCTGGTCATACCGAACTTTAGCCGTACCTACCAACTGCTCACACATGGACCCATCGACGAAGAAGCGACGTACTACTGCGACTGAGCTGCGGCCGCGTCACGATGCGAGCGACACAAGCAGCGCCTGTGCCCCTGCGGTCGCAGAGTACGACGCCGTGATGATGCAGCAGCAACTCGAAGCGTTGATTCGCAGCGAAGACGTGGACTCGGCTCAGATTTTAGGCGACTTTCTGGTCGCTCTTGCGCTCGCTCCTTCTGATTCCAAGACCCACAGCTGTAAGAGCGATACTTTGATGCGCAAAAACGACACCAGCAATTGTTGAGCCTGATAATGAGTCCAACTAATTGGTACGAAAACGTAACAGCAGCGGACGGCGGTGTGCGCGAGGCACTTCCGTCTGCTTTCCACGCCGACACGCTGCGGCTTTTTGCAGATTTGATGGTCGTCAGGCGCGAGTTCAAGCGCGCTATTGTGAGTAGTTGGCTGCTGTGTGGGCAGCCAAATGTTGCCAATGGTGCGATCTCATGGACTCGCCGTTGTTACTGCGTTTTGCTCTTGCTCACTTGCTCTGGTGTAGCGCTACTATCATCGCAGTTGCCGGGACATGACCGTAGTGACGAACGATCAAGAGCTTGCGACAAAGCTCAAGGTGGCCAGGTGCTACGTGCATCTGGATTGCATTCATGAAGCTATTGAAATGGTACGATGAGTTATAAGTGCTGCTTGGACCAGCTGTGGTGACGCTCGCAAAGGACTGAATGGCAGCATTGGGAACTGTTGTGCGGTGCTGTAGCTACGATCAACGCCGCAAGATGCACGGAGCGTGAGTATGAACTTGCTGCTTGGGAGATTGTATGTGGACGAAGGACTGCCCACCAAAGCGGAAGAGAGCTACATGACAGCACTCAAACAGAACCCATACGCACTAGAAGCAGCTATAGCGCTCACAAAACTGGCCGTGGCAAAAGACGCACCCCCAGACGTGTTTGCCGGATCAAGTGGTGCAATGATGATGGAGGAAGGCGATGGACAATCAAGTTATGATGCATCTACGAGCCCATACGAGATGGAACGGTGCTATACTGAGGATCCAGCGACACAAAAAGCAGGAGACGGCGAGCACACTCAGTCGAATATGACTTGGATGCAAATATTAGTGACAGCTCACGTGGACGCTGAACGGGGCAATCACCAAAGTACGTTGCAGCATATCGATTTTGCACTGTCGTTTTCGGCTCGGATGGCCGTGGACACGAGTACTGACTTGCATACCGTTTACGACCCAGAGGCCATCGAGTCGTTCAGCGCGCTAGACCGTGTTTTCCCTAAGAACCTGCATTGTCTGCTGCACAAGGCTGCACTGGAGGTCGACCAGGAGCTGCTGCATCAGGCCCATGTATCCTTCAAGCGAGCACGACAAGTCGATGATCTGAACGTGACCTTCATGGATTGCTATGCCAACTGCTTACGAAAAGGGGGCTCGTGCACCAACCTGAATGATCTGGTGCAGGAGTTATTTACGATAAACCGTGCTTGTCCGGAGTCGTGGCTTGCTGCCGCATACTACAATGACAGTAAGGGCGACTACGAGACAGCATTGCAGTTTTGCGAGCGTGCCATTACGGAACGAGATCGTTATGCACCTGCCCACTTGCTGCGAGGTGGAATCTTGTTGCGAATGCATCACCCACAGCCTGCATTGAAAGCATTCTGGACGTCGTGTCGACTCACTCGGTCATTGGAAGCGTATACTGGGATAATCACCAGCTACTGCGACCTGTACGTTGCTGGTGTGGACCGGTACAAGGAAGCTTTTGCTACTGCCAAAAGTGTCGTGAGACTGTTCCCGAAGAAGGCACAAAGTTTTGTATTGTTTGGCAGCGTACTTGCGCTCAGCTCGGAGCATCGAAAGCAAGCGCGACAGGCTCTGCAGAAGGCACTGGCGATGGAACCACGCAAGCTTTATGCTAGTATTGCGCTTGCTGATCTAGAGGTAGAGGATGGCGATTTACGGGGCGCTATTGAGAGGTATGCTTACACTACACTATCCTTGCTCTTGCGTGGTGCGCGAGTGCCTTTGATCTCACTTGCCTCGCCGTTGTTTCTGTAGACTGCAAGCATTAAGCGAGCGTTTTCCGCGCGACGATGTGTTCGCTAAGCTTGCGTACGTGTACTCGATGGACAAGCAATTTGCCGAGGCACTGAAATACTTCCATCAAGCATTGAGGCTCAACCCAACATCGTCGGAGGCGTTACAAGGCTTGGATCGCCTGGAGAAGCTGATGCGTGGCGAAGACCCGGACGAGCTTAGCAATTCGATGGAGCAGGTCGACACAGAAGGCCAGGAGGAGTCGATGGAAGCTAGCGATTACTTGTCACCATAGAGAAGCAATAGGCGGATGTCAAACTTCAGACACGTATCGTTGGCCACAATGGTGTGCGCATGGCACCAGCAAACCATCGGACTGTGGATGTGGTGTCACGTCGAGCTGTTCTGGAGCACGTGGACTCTACGCTCGAAGGGGACGGCTTGGTATGCAGCTTGCCTTGTATGGAACCCGCATATCGTCAGAGGCAGTTGCTTGCAAACGCAAGCACTGCAAGACGTCGAATGGTGCTGGCTGGCCAGTCTACGTTCGTGTTCACGTGACCTGCTGCTTCCCTGAGCGCAATCCAAAGAAAAAATGCTCAGTCAATTCCTCGTGCAAGGACAGAACTGGCAGTTCGATGCTGTCCAACGAAAAGACGTCACCGAGATGGACGAGGGAAATGTGACGCGCGACAAGTCAAGACGCTCGACAGTTTGACAGTAGGACTGTCGACTGTCGAATGGCGAGTCACATCATATACGGTACGCACCGTTTGCTTGGATCGAGTCGCACGTATCGTCGCTCTATCTTTCGGTGGTGCGACCAGAGACACCGGTGCGACCATAGCGACGTGAGGCAGTGACCACCGCGACACCCAACGGAGCTCTCCATATAGCCTGCTGTTTTCGAAAACTCAGAGAAAGCGATCGAGACCAGCAAGCGGGTGGTATGCTTGCAAGTTGAAGCAGACGGCAGCCGAAGCGCCCATCAACGGCCGGCACCACTTTGCTCCGTATTGCAGCATCGAAATCGCCGCTCGTCCCAGCGCGGCAACCGCTCGACACCCGTCCGTCCGTTCGTCCATCAGTCAGTCAGTTTGCGATCGGCTGCACCGTTTCTCCCCACCGTCCGAACTCGACAGTCCCGCGATTCGACAATCGGACAACATTCATTCCACCCCTAGTTAGGGGTCGGCCCTCGTCCGCGTCACGGCCGCTGTCAGCCAACCAGCCACTACCGACGCCCGACTATGCACCACGGACGGATCCGACCCAGTGACAGACCCCAACCTCACTCACTCCCCCACTCACTCACTCCCTCACTCACTCACTCCCCCACTCACTCACTCACTCACTCACTCCCCCACTCACTCACTCACTCACTCACTCACTCACTCACTCCCCCCACTCACTCACTCACTCACTCCCCCACTCACTCACTCACTCACTCCCCCACTCACTCACTCACTCACTCCCCCACTCACTCCCTTACTCACTCACTCGACCGCTCGCTCACTTTCCAATTTGCCGACTCGGTCCGTCATCGACCGACTGCCCGTCGGCGCCTCTCCCCCAGCAAAGAGCCACTGGAATGGCACTCCGACTCGTCCACCGCGTCGGCCTCTCCAGCGCCCCCCCGACACCCTCTGCGCCGCGTCTGCCCCGCACGAGCGGCCACCGGTCGCTGCCGGAGCTCCCACTCTGCGGCCCGCGCAGTGCTCGTGCCGCCGCACGCCACCAGCGCGCAGCTGCAGCTCAGCGCTGCGGTCCTCGCGCAGCTCGAGGCGCAGATGCAGCGGCTCGGGGACGGCCCGAGCAGCCCCCGCGACGCGTTCTACGTCGTGGACACGGCGGCCATTGACGACCGCTACAAGCTCTGGCACGCGCACCTGCCGCATGTGCGGCCGTACTACGCCGTCAAGTGCAATCCCGACGCGGCGCTCATTGAGAGCCTCGCGCGGCGCGGCGCGGGCTTTGACTGTGCGAGTGAGACAGAGATCCGCGCGGTGCTCGACGCGGGCGTGGCGGCCCGCGACATTGTCTACGCCAACCCGTGCAAACAGGGCTCGCAGATCGCCTACGCGCGCGCGCAGGGCGTCGACGTCATGACGTTCGACTCGCTGGACGAACTGGTGAAGATTCAGGTCATTAGTCCGCGCGCGCAGCTCGTGCTGCGGCTGTACGTGGACGACTCGGCGTCGGTGTGCCGCCTGGGGACAAAGTTTGGCGCCATGGTCCACGACGTGCCGGACCTGTTGACAAAGGCCAAGTCGCTTCAGTTGGATGTCGTGGGCGTGAGCTTCCACGTTGGCAGCGGGTGTTTCAATGTCGACGCCTATGGCCATGCGGTCGCTCGGGCCCGCAAAGTCTTTGACATTGGCCACGCAATGGGCTTTGACTTTGAGCTGCTGGACATTGGCGGTGGCTTTCCTGGCACCGAGACCGGTCCGATTCGCTTTGAAGACTGTGCTCGCGAGCTCAGGCAGTCGCTGGCGCGGCACTTTCCAGTGGACAGTGGCGTGCGGGTGATCTCGGAACCCGGACGCTTCTTTGCGGCGTCGACCCACACGTTGGCGGTGAACATTGTTGGCCGCAAAGTGGCACCGACGGTGGACGGCCCGGCTCAAGCACCGGAGCTGGTCAGTGCTGCTGCTGCTGCGAAACAAGGGCCCAACTATATGTACTTTGTAAACGACGGCTTGTACGCGTCGTTCAACTGCATGGTGTACGACCACCCGTCGATTCAGCCGGTGATCATGTCGAACGCTGCCTCGCTGGATGCTACGCCCATGTACAAAGCCAGTCTCTGGGGCCCCACGTGCGACGGCATGGACTGTATTATGAAAGAAGTCGAGCTGCCGTTGCTGGACGTGGGGCAGTGGATTGTGTTTCCGAGCATGGGCGCGTACACGTGTGCTGCCGGCTCGGACTTTAACGGCTTCCAGCGTCCTCAGAAAATCTACTTTGACTCGCAGTTCGTGGCAGACGACCAGCAGCAGTTTGTGCACTAGTGATGGAGTGAACGACGCATTTGATTGAAGAGTGAAGACGATAGACATAGAGCGAGGACATGATGTCAGCCGTTGCGCCCAGCGAGGTGGCGCTGCGAGGACCTACAAGATGGACGATACAGATTCCAGCAACAGGGCCTACCAGTTCTTTCAACAGAGGACGAAGAGCTCAGCCTCGGGGTCAGAACAAGCGAGAGATGGCGCCCTGTTTCTAGGACTGTTTTCCTATTATAAAGGTCTGGACCAGTGCAATCCCACACACCGATGCAACCCATTTTGGCCGTATGGTGCTTCTGAGCATACAGACATTGATGCTGCTTCGACGTACAATAGCACCAAACGTCTCCTTGTGCGCTGATACTGTTTGCGTTACTGCACTAACTGGCTCTGCGCGTCGTGCGACCTTCGTTACGTCCCTTGTTAGTCTAGACTCTCCGAGTGCATCGTCATTCCCCGGGTGCTTCTTGCCAGCAGTCGGCCATGTATCCTCCTCCGTCGCTGTATGCTTCGAGACTGTACATCGACGAGGAAGCAATCGGTCGACCTCTTCGACATGACAAACAGCATCGCTTAGGCCAGCTCCTTGTCCAGTCCACGAAAATGCGCTGGTCTGCGCACCCACGTGCGGGGCAGCACTTCATCGTTCGTAGCTAGACGCAGTGTACGGCTCTCGTCCCGCACGAGCAAGTGCTTCTTCTTGCTCGTAATGTCCTTCACCGCCAGACGGAACTTGGCCTTCGTCTTGCTGTATGCAGGGTTCGCAAAGCTCTTTTGCACGTCAATCTTGTTCTTCCCTGCCAGTCGCTGCAGCTCGAGCGCCTCCTCAGGGTGCAACTGGTCCGTGTGGCCGTGCTTGCCCATGCGGCGCACAAGCGGCGGGTATCCTTCAAACTCATCACTGAGGAAGAAAAAGTCAGGGTTTCGAAACGCGTCGTCGTCCATGCCCATCAGCACCGCCTCTTCCCGAGCATCGAGCTCCTCATCGTCATCCGGCTGCGTCGCCTCTTCTTCTTGCCGGATGCGTTTTTTCAAGCGCGCCGCCTCTTTTGCATTACCAGCAGCTTCAGCTTCAGCAAGTTTCGCGGCTTGTGCGTCCATCTCGCGCTTCGCCTTGTCCTTTGCTTCGTGCACTTTGGCGCGAAACTCCTCGGGCGAGAGCTCTGCTTCCATGCGCTTCATCCAGATGATCGCTTCGACGCGAGGCTTGGACAGGCGGAACTTGCGTGCCAGGACCTCCGACGTCCACCGCAACGGGTTCTCCATGAACAGCTCCATCACGAGGTCGTCCAGCTCGTCGTTCTCCATGACGCCGCCGCGATTCACGTCTGGGATCGTGTCCACCTCAATGTCACCGTCTTGGCCCTCACTATCGCCGTCCTCCTCCTCCTCCTCCTGCGCACGGTCTTCGTCATCGCCGCCATCGTTTCCATCTGCCCCGCCTCGTCGTTCTGCAGTCCCGTCTCCCTCCTCGTCCGCCAGACTCAGGAAGCGAGACGGCGTCGAGCTGGACGACGACGACGACGCATAGCGCCCAGAGACGGGACACCTGCGCCCTGCACGACCACACGACACATACAACGGCGCAGCGCTCGGGGCGGCGGCAGACAGCGCGCGTCGAGAGCTGCTCTTACGCGCTGCAGCGCGCACGACGACGCGACGCCACATGGGAATGGACAAGATGCTCTACGCAGTGACACGATTGGCTCGGAGCGGTCGGGCAGGCGGTAGCCTACCGGTTCCTCCTCGATATCCTACCGGCTCCTCCTCGATATCCTACCGGTTCCTCCTCGATATCCTACCGGTTCCTCCTCGATATCCTACCGGTACGCACACAGCCGATGACGCCGCCACCTGTAAGTCCTCCTACAATCGCCCCCGACCAACCCAGGTGTTTTTACATGCATCGACACGAAAGGAGTGGGTCCAAATCCTCCAAATCCACCCAAATCCACCCAAATCTTCCCAAATCCACCCAAATGAACGTAAAGGAACCCAACCTCGGCCCCAATGGAGCTCCACGTAATCCAAAAGTGGGCATGCAGCGGTCGGTCACACACCCGCACCCACAACTCACTCGGTCACATGATCAGACGCAGTCAGGCGCCAGTCGCCCGCGTCCTGCGGCCGCATTTGCTGCGCGCGCTGTCGCTCGTCACGACGTCGATCCTTGCGGTCGTTTTCTATGGCTATTGGGGGGGCGGCGAGCCCAAGGAGTGGGTCTACGACGCGCCGGCGCTCGACGCAGTGGACCTCGAGGGCCCCGACCGGCCGCGCAGTCTCTGGGCCCCGACGGACTTTGAGTGTCTCGGCTGGCGCGCGACGCACGAGTGCGATCCGTACGGCCCGAGGGATTACGCGCGCGACCGCACGTGCCACGAGCCGTTGCCGCGCACGAGCGGCTACTGTGAGGTCCGCAACCGCACGAGCGGCGCCGTGCTCCGCGTCATGCTGGCCACGTGCAAGAGCTGGCAGTGGTACCTTGTGCCCTCGCTGTCGTGCAACGACGCGCAGGCGTATACGGATTTCAGCATCCAGGCCGCCGTGTATACGCACTCGCCGCGGATTGGTCGACACCGAAGCGCCACGGACGACAAGACGAAGAAGATGGAAGACGGTCATGTTGAAGTGGACGGGCGAGGCATTGTCATGACGGCGTACCCTCGCGCGATTGCAGGACTGTACGCGATCGTCCGGACGCTGCGGCTCTTGGGCTGTGCGCTTGCAGTGGAAGTGTGGATTGACACGAGGGAGATACGGGCAACGCATTCAGTGCTCGAGGAGCTCCAGGCGCACTACCACGTGCTCGTGCGGGTCATTGAGGACCCGAACGCGTCGAAGTTCCATGCGAAACCGTATGCGATCTACCACTCGAAGTTCGAGAGCGTGCTCTGGTTGGACTCGGACAACATTCCCGTGCGCGACCCGACGTACTTGTTTGACACGCCCGAGTTTGTCAAGCACGGAGCCCTCTTTTGGCCAGACTTTTGGCGCCCGTCGATTGGCACGCCGTTCAATGTGCACCAACAGAGTGCGCTGTGGCCGCTGCTGGACATGCCGTTTATCGACATGTTTGAGCAAGAGAGCGGGCAATTGTTGGTGAATCGCTCGCGCTCGCAAGCCGCGCTCTCGAAGCTCATGTTCTACTCGTCCCATATGCCGCGGTTGCTTACCGATTGGCAACTTGTGTGGGGCGACAAGGACTTGTTTCGTCTTGCGTGGCTAAACACGTCTACCCCTTTTTATATGGTGCAGCACCTCGTTGCGCCCGGCGGACTGTACGATGCCGATGAAGACTTTTTCTGCGGGATCTCCATGATTCAGCGAGATCCAATGGGTGACATCATATTCATGCATCGCAACCAGGCGAAACTGACTGGACTCCGTGATCAGAAGCCGCTCATCTTGTATTTGCAGAAGTTCACGGGTGGTGACGGTACAGCAGCTTCGTCTGCGCGAGACCTGGACAAGTACCGCGTGAAAAGCAAGATGCGTCGACTAGGACAGCACACGTGCTTTTTGTTGGCGCCATACACACTCGACGGTAGTGCCACTCCGTCATTGCTCCTCAGTCTCGAAGAGACAGAGTACGCGCGAATCGAGCAATATGCTATTGGCTTTTCGATCGAAGGCCGTGGGCTCTTTAGCAAAGAGGAGGAGGCCGAGGTGGCAAAACTGGAGGCCGACACGCAAGCGGAGCGAGATGAGGAGACTGCTGCTGTTGTTAGAGCGTACGAATGGTCAAAGTTTTGTAGGCGTGGAATTCTCGGCATTGTCGTTGTTGTCGCCTTAGGGCTGTGGCTACGAAGACGGTGGATGCGACGGTACAGAAAGAGTCGCGCCAGGCTTGAATCGAAGAACATTTCTGTGTCATCGCCGGCAGAGCTGCCATCTTCTCACGTTACTTTGGCAGTAGACCCTGTCTTCACCGAAACCTCTGGGTCTTCCTCTGTCGTGTTTTCCAGCACAGCATCCGATTGTCGACGACGCAATTCGTCCTTCCAACTTAATGACAAATGACAGCCACGATGTTGATATCGAGAGGCCTACTCGAGAGATGCTCACCTGCATAAGCGTCTCGCAATGTATCGCAATGAGCGAAAAGATTGATCAAATTTGCACGAAGAAGACCTCAATTTGACTGCACTTACATATGGTACATTATGAATGCCAGCACGACGATGTACAACGCCAAGCACGTGCACTTGTGACCAAAAACTCGCAAACTGATCTGATGGGCTATTGCTGGTCTGTGCACTGCGCCGGTATGAATGTAAAGCTGTGACTGACACTGAGCTTTATTACTTCAATCCGTGCCGTGCGTAGAGGGATGAACTCGCACTGGAGTTTGAGACGCGAGACAAAGCTAAGAGCTGAGCTGGAGTCGTCGGGTACTCGTGATCGGCCCAAGGCTGTACTTGAAGAGGATGAATAAGGCTTTGATGCTTTGTTGCTTGAGTCAACAGACGGCGTCACGAGCAGCAGGTACGTGTCTGCACAGTAGCGCAATCTTTCGCGAGTGCGTGATGCCACGTGTCGGGTCATCAGACCGTGAACGACGTACTTGCAGGACCACGTTTGTTGTATCTTCGGTGCTGTTCATGGATGATGATGATAGAAACACGTCGAGTTGATCTAGAAGACAACGGCTTGCAGTACTAACGGTCATAGTAAAACGTATTCGACAGTATGCCAAGAAAAAGGTATTGGTACAGCCAGCGTCTGTCCTACACATCAGCGCCTATCTGACACAGAGAGCCATCCAGACAAGTAACCTGCGGTTTCTGCAGCTATTGCTGGTGGCCAGCCTTGACTTGGAGATCATCACTGATCCACAATGTGTAAAATGAAGATATGATTTTTGAATAAGTTTGGACTGCACATTCCAGTGCAGCTCATCACTTTTGCTTGCGTAAATGCCGTTGAGCACACCGTACGCACTCACAATCACCATCAGCTGTACCTCTTGTCGCCGATCAAGTGTTGCACTTCGTCGGGTATACAACGAACGTGAGTGTCGTCGATAGCTCTGCGCGAAGCCTTACTGGGGACATTGCCGTGAAGTGCAAGAAATGCGAAGAAAATTAACATGTGTGATCATTGTAATGAGTATTCAACGAGTAAGCATTGTGCAGATAGAAACGATTATAGATGTGCTGTCAATGTGGCCTTGTCGCGTCCTGCTATATCGACGCATCGCATCTGTCTGTATCGTTGGGCAGTCTGCTTATTTGGACACCAGATAGTCTCTACAAAAGCTGACCCCCTCTGTAACGAGACAGCCGTTACGTGACTTTGGCAACCGAATAATGTCGATGTGAACGTCACCTTAGTAGGTCATTCATGATCGAAGCCCGTGCATTGGTAAGTACAACTTAGTCAGCGGGTGATAACACTCTGTACGTAGCTTGCAACCGACCATAAAGAACACGTTACTTACACCGATCAGGCACAGACGCACAAAAAGTGGTGAACAGACAGTTGTGGTACATGTTCGTCATCAGAGATAAATGATTGTAGCTTCGAACATGACCTTGAGATGATGAGTTCAAGTATATTGACATCAGTTTCTTGTTCCCTTCCGTATTTCAAGCCCCACTTGGAGGCGCTTCCTGTACACTATGCGCGAATAGTAATCGAGTGCACAAGCTTAATCTGTCGTCAGGGTTTGTAAGAGTGCATGCAAGACGTGCCTCGTGATGGATAACACTTGTCGGTCGCTTATCATTACAGCTCATTCGCTTCTCGATCTACCACCTGCTGATGAAAATGTCATCCACACTTTCTGCCGTTAGGGTAAGCGCCCCATTCCCGCGGCGAGATTTGCGACCAAGTTATGCGACCTTGACAGAGTATGCTCTTGCCTTTGACAACGACATCTTCAGCTGCATCGGAGGACGAAGTACGATCGGGGTCCGTGCTAGAGGCCGCCCCGTATCTAGAAATCGAAATACTATCCAAGGAAGTTACCAGTTACAACAAAGGGATTGACCGATGTACCATTTGAATTTGCAGCAAAAAAATCACTCGACCCACATTGCGTCAGCACTGCCATTCGACTAACGTGGGTTGGTCGCAGCCTTGCAGCAATTAAGTACCATGCTGGTCATATTTCAACGGTTGCATCACGTGTGTGGCACAACCGACCAACGCCGGTGGCCAAGTGGAAACGCACTGGCACCGGACCTGGAGTTACGTGGATCGATACCCGCGCAGGGGCGGTACGGTATCACATCGCCGGAGAGTGAATAACAAAGCCGGATATAGTGGGTCGTACGCGTACCCGAATATGCCTCAAACCATCTCTCTCTGTGACACGATGTAGAGAAGAGGAGCGATTTCTTCAGATCATCAGTCGTTAGTGGAATGATGGCGTTGGCTCATTGAAAACTCGTGCTTCTATAGTGGAGCTTCTTATCGAGGTAATTGCTCAGTGGAGACGCCTGAGCGAGTAAAACGTATGGAGCTCAGACGTGCAGGCGCAATGCCTTCTCATTTCCTGCGCCTCTTATGCCGCGTGAAGAGGGGCAGGAACATGCATATCGTCGATAGCGCGGTCGTACAACGCGTGGGATCAAGTCCGAGAAACGACTTGATGGTGAGTATGCAGGCGAATATGGCCAAGACAACAAAAGGAGCGAAGATAGTGAATATTCCAGCCACGTTGTTTCGTCTGCTATCCCGAAAAAAGATGCATGTGCCATCAACTAGGCAACACGGGCCATACAACTAGCGCGTCAATCTAGCGCTTGACGTGCACAAAAAAGGTAGCAACATTGCTGGCAAAACAGCCATTGTATCGACGCACACGCGACGTACAATGTGAACGAAGATTGCCACGTAAAAACAGTGGCATTCGTATACTTGATGGCGTCTTGCATGCTTCTGAAATCGAGCGAAGTCTTGTGAGATTGCGCAGGGTCGAAGCTGTAGGCTTTGCGACTGCCTCCGATAACGAACAGTGTGTGTTTGCAAATGGTAGCCGTAATCTATCTACCGCGTGGAGTAGAAGTAGCTGTATGTTATGTCATCTACTGGTTCAATAACATCTGTCGAGGTGGGATATGCCCTGCGGGATGAGCCAGTCGATACGGTAGTCTGTCACGTCAGGCATGGACACGCGAATGTCCATTATATGTCACGATGGTGCGGATGGCCCGAGGCATGCATGCAAGAAAGGATCGGATGGCTTCACGTGAAGGCCGTGTGGATCGAAAACTTTCCATTCGGTCTTGTTCAACGAAAAGGACAGTCTCATCGAACCCAAGTAATCACTGGTATCGATGGACTATGCGGAACTACAGGAGACAGTGTCACGAGAAGACTGCACTGTCGCAAAAAGTTTGATCGCCTACTGTAGCATTTGAATAGGACATGTCCGTAAGGATAAGGTTTTAGCTTTCCTGCTGCTAGCTCGTTGAGAATGTACTCCGATAGTATAGTAAACAGATTGAGAAGAGCTATCGTCGTATTATAAGTGACGCCGCTTATTTATACCTGCCGGGAAGATTGCCGAGTCATACGACAAAAACATCGGGTCTCGAGGTTTGTTGCTCTCTCTTACCTCACAGCAATTAATAGCAGTGTCAACAGCATCATCCGCGTTATTCTAATGATTGCACGATATTACTGCATGCGTTTGGTGAGATGAGGTGCTTCTGGCTAACGCCATACTCATCAACGTGTTATCATATCATGTTGTTCGCTAGAACATGCTTAACATCTAGGGCCCAATTGATGTGGTCCCGGCTGACCATAGATGTAATGACAGCATCACCAAATTGATGACAGCATTGTTCTTATAGTACCTCTTTTCGATCAAGCAAATTAAACGGTAAGTAGTGGACTACTTAAATCACAAAGGTCACTTGATCCAATAAATAAGGTTGATCAAGTATTCTGGTCGTGGTACAAGTTGGCTTCTGTATGAATGAAGATATAAATAGTCGTTTATCATACAGTGAGCACCAATTCACACTCTTGCAAGTTTCCACGTAGAGAATTGAAGAGTAAGACGTATCGCCTTTTATATCGACATGTACGAGAACTCAATTTCAGGTGATTTTGCGACATTGAAAATAGGCGTTTACCACGAAGCATCTGGACCCGCTCTATTCGCTAACAGGGATGGCTGAGAACAATACCTAATCGTTGCGCCTGGCCATTGTTGCATTTACTTTATATAGGATCAAGCTAATTAAGACAATTCAATCCTTTGACGAAGTACATGCAAACTTTTGCAGGACAATTTAGGGAGCCTTCTACTCATATTCCAAAGCGCACATTCTATGGCGGAGTACAGCAAAGAGATCCTTATTCTGTCTGTACATAACCCCGTTCGTGGGCCGTTGTTATGCGGGTCTATCTGGGTAAATGTCGCTTGCGGCCAGTACTTAAGACTATTTCTTAATACTGTCCCGACGGAAAAAGTGTTCGTGGCCCCCATATAGTAAACGATAAAAGCAAAATCTTTGATGTAATAATTGCGCTTTGTGAGATCAAGCAAGGATTTTAAGCACGGTAAAGAGCTGTGACACCTCAAACTCTATATGTTGACTGTAGTAGTGCAAGTCCGACACTTGGTCGCTGCTTGGTCGAAACAGAATGGACGTAACTATCTCTGCGTCAATAACTCTCCTAAAGAAGACCATAACAAACCCGAATTATCGAGTACAAGACTAATGGCACTTACACAATTCGCCTGCGCGAAAAAAGTTTATGATATGTGGTCCATAGGGTCTCCCAAGCATTTATGTAGTACAGTAATTATGCTTTAATTTCGTGTACGACCCGCACCTATCATGACATCTTGGAAATGGCGGGGTACCCATTCAATGAATAATTGCTATATTACTTTATTCGCCTTTGTTCAGCGATCTATTATCTTTCGGCCCACCGTATTATCCTCAAAGATCGTAACGATCGTAGCGTCATTGTTTATATCTCAATTACTGAGGCTAGGTGCACTTGGGGATCAACTAACAGCTTTGTAGTTCTAGTCGTTGTTTTAATGGCAACAAACAAAATAAATTGTAGACTCCACAACCGACGAACGTAGCTAAATGATCTTTTGCCATGACAACAGAATCGACGATATTGACGCTGACACGTCTCTTCGACCGACACAAGAGTCGGCGCATGTGTGATTAATTTAGCTGACAATGACTACAGGCCAAGTGTGCTAAATAGCTCATGACTCGATCAGAGTAGTCGTTTTTGGTGGTAGGGAAATTTCCTCATCCTGTCGATCAGATAGGTAGAAATTTCCTGAGGGTTGTACTCGGTTGTAACCTTGGACGTAGAGGGCAGGCACTCGCGCACGCTGCCAAACTAATTCCTTATCTATAAATATTCTATGTAATATATCGTGCACCATGCAACATCTCCTTGCCTGCCTCGTCTCGTACAACTCAAACGACAAACAGCGACTGCACAGGGCTTATGTACGATGATAAGTCGTTTTCAAAGCGAACATTATGCGTTGTCAAAGCCTATAAAGCCGCTATTTGCAGTTGTGAAGCAACGGCTAATAATAATTGTCAACGCATGACAGTCAGCTCATTGATGTACTTGATCGTAATCGGCCGCTCTGATCTCGCGACCCCTTCCGGATCATAGCTTGAAATATGAGCACCAGCCAAGCTTTCCATTTTGTCGTCAATCGCGCCATTGTATGTTTGAGGTGCACATCGGACCTTTATGTTCATTATCACCGTTTAAGGAGCCTCAGAATGCGTCTTAAATCTTGATAAGAGGCTCCCTTCATGTGCTGATAGTTCGCTAGTCTTCAACTAAATCTTCCGTACTCTCAATCAACGCTGTATCGCCTGAGTATTTAACGACATCCTCTGATACGCTGTCAACGGCCTACGTAGTACTGACGCAAGATGCGAATGGTCTAATATGACACAATCAGCTTTTGCGGAACTCGGCACATAAACTAAAACGATAACGTTACACAAGAAGACGTAATGAGCGCAACATCTCGCTGTGGTAAAGAGTGTTGTATAGGGTTTGAAGCCGTAGACGCCCTGTCATTCCCTCGGATTCATCGGACAACGCAATCTCGAGCCAGATCACCTCGACTCGGATAGAGCACTTCCAAGAATAATCGCGATCGTGCAATGAGGCCCATACACTCGACCTCACACGCATCACTACTGCAAATAAGATCGGTAGTACGTAAAAATTGACCACGTCGATCTTCGTTACTGCCCAACGACATTCCTGACAGCAGACCAATTTACAAAGCCTTCGGTGCAAGCGATCTTTGTTCGATTCACTTGTGCTTATCGGATGAATCGTTGCGGATAATCGATGAGTAACTTGCCTGGTTACTTTATATAATGGATAGGGATGGACCGAATGCGTGTGTCGGAGTGTGTCTGATTTTTTAGCGACCTAGTTGTGACACCTCAGCCATCTGCCACACGTGAAATCATATATAACGGACTTTCGAAACGAAATAACAAGGTGTATGCTTTATGCTCAAGGTCAGGTAGCCAGTCGATGGCAACAACCGAGTTGATGCAAGCACCTATGTCGATGCGCCAGTGGCGGTGATTAGCGTCAGTTGGCCTTCAACCGTTGTCAACACGCACTTTAAATTCCCAACTAGCGAGCAATTCGACTTTGCTTCTGTCAAGAAAAAGCATCAAGCGGGTTGCCATTACAATTGAATGTACACAGTCGTTTACGTGTCACCTACGCCTTCAAAACAAAGGATTGTGTCTACTATCGTGCTCTTCTCTAGCAATACTACAGCACTTGTCAGTCCATTACCGCAACGAGTGTCGATCAAAGAAAGTTCTGCCATTCCACGTAGCGTAAGTGAGTAGGGGGGTCCCGTGTTGCAGACGTCGTTTGGGCTAATCAGCTCCAACAAACTGATCTCCTAGGAACTGTACTAATGGCCCATGACTTGCGATACAAGCAATTTGATATATAGCTGACGTGATAAATGGATTCTATTCGATACGCTTGGAACAATTTGCACTGTACTTAACCTATTCAACCTCCTCTCATTTCATAGCTTGTGGCATTCTGGCTAGGCCATGCTCAGGTTGAGATCATGTATCGTATCGAGGTCAATGATCCGAAATCTCTTGACGCACTACAATTTTTAGGCCCCACGACAAGGATTACAAGACTCTTGGTATAAGACTACTTGTGTTGTCCATAGACGTACAGGGACAGTGTCACCGCGCGATTGCAACGCCTCAGTATACGAAGGACGTCCTTATACATAGCAGCGTTAGCATGACTTACTGACATTTACGCTTGATCAGAATCGGCCGTATACCTCAAGACCTGTCACGTTCACTTCTGTGGCGATCCGGCTTGCACACATGATCCATGTTATTGAGCACAAATGTCTTTCGGAATAGGCCATATACACACCTACTTCTTGTAGGCTTCGCGGCACCAGATTCTGACCCAGTAGAGTGACGGCACCTCCTGTAAGTGCGCGTTTTCGGCGCCGGACTTGGCTTTCTTGTGATAAAACTGATTCGAGCTTGGGGGATCTTAGCGCCACTTGCGCAGTAGGGAGCCCGACGTAGGTGTCTAAACCTTATATAAGAATGACACCGACGGTAGCGTGCTACCCATCAGCTTTGAAGCTCGACTTGGTCATTTTCAGTACGGCTGTTACAGTCAATGTGTAACTCTGTAAAGCATCCAACGCGCTCGAGATCTTTGTCGTACTCATTGCACCCAAGTCGAGCTAAGTTGAACGTAGTTGATCATTGAGCGCTACGCTCACAGCATCATCAATCATACGAGGGCGAATCCATAGTTGTCGTTCCTGTCAACGCCAGTACGTAGACGATTTTATACGCAAAAGAACATACACGTCACCACGGAAAGAGGGTGTATTGCACAGAAGTCAAAAGGGTCTCCGGGTACAAGGTATAGCTGCTAGCGTATTTTTACCCTAGTGAAGATTAGAAATCGTGACCTCGTGTGATAGGTAATATATAAAGCGCGAATACACACCCGAACTTGGTAGCTTCAGCACTCGTAGGAAAGAAAAACTGCATCTAGTAACCCGCCCCTCGTCAGCACCACCATTACTGAGCTCAAATAGCTACTGCAAACTGGTGGTACTCAGACAGATATATTGATTAGACCATGGTCACATATGAATATCGAATTCGGCAAGAAAGCCTTCCTCCATCTTGTTGTCACCGGTTTTCACAATCGCACTAAGCGGCCGGATTCGAGCACCATCGTTCAATACTGTCACAATGAGGCAGCATTGCCGGCACGAGTACTTTATACAAATTCCGATCACGTATTCACGTGTCAGATGAAGCCCAACTAATCACTTAGGTATGGTCTTGCGATACAAGAAGATCGACAATCGAAAAAATGCCATACACATAAGCAATATAGAATGTGGGCGCTTCAATGTGGGTCGCGTCGAGGTGTCTAAAACGCTCCATCGTATCGTAAGATGCGTCTCGGGACTTAAATGTAGTATCGACTACAAGTACCACCTAGTGTGATGAAGCTGCCACAGCTCTAACGCCCGCGGGAGACGTTGACCTGCTAAGCATCTTCTTGCAACCCATTGAGGCAAGCTCTCGACACACATAGTTGCTATTTTGCCAAATCCGGAAGAACTTCAGGTTCAGCTCCCGGAGTGTCCATCCACTTCAATTACAAGAACGAGGCAGAAGGAAGACAAAAAGGCCAAACAAAAGCATTGATGCACGTACACCTTACTCAGTCGTTCCGTGAGCTGTGTTTATTGATGTGTGGCGACATCTACCGCATGATACGACCTACTTGTAGCTCGATCACTAAAACTTGACCTGATCGCGTATGAGATCAATGGATACAAAGCCCCTCCAATGCTTTGGTGTTACAGCTAAGTAAACGTATTACCTGTGGCAACAAAGTGCTCACTGATGTAGCACAATCAGCTCATACTGATGATACACTTCCCGAACTCAGCAGCTCTTAGACTGAATATAGTCTGACACAGCAATTAACGGTTGCAACAACGATACGCCAGCTCGCCAGTAACATGTGCTGGTATTTTCTACTACGGTAGATCTGCATTGTAGCTGCAAAGCTGTCGTGGAGTCGCCATGCCGATGACATTGTGAAGCAGTTGAGCGTGCTCTGGTTTCTGCAGGTATACTACCACCACTAATTATATTTAACAAGAAGTTCTGCCGGGATTACCGACAGAAGCATAAGAAATGGATTTGATGTGGCGCTTCCTCATTTTAGCTGAAGTCAGAGTTGGACACTGACGAACCATAAGGGCACCGAATCGAAATCGAGTGCAAGTGCAGGCGCGAGAAAACGTGCGCTGATCGGGTCGACGAGTGAACAAAAGGTATCTGATTGAGTGCTCCTCGAACGAGGCCAAGTCTTTCGGAGAAAAAGGCCTTCGTTCCAACCAAATTGTCGAAGGTCGCTCATGTCGGTCCAATTGCAGCCTTCAATACTTGAGCAAGTCATGCAGTTGTATGACGTCTTGCCATTGAACGTCGAGCAACTTTATCGCTTGGCATCGTATGATCACGATACGTATCGGACTTCTCAGCTAATCGACTAGCCGAACTTGCCTCCTGTTGGCCTGCTACCTTGAGTTCTATCCACTCTGAGCACAAGTCACGCGTAAAGTATTTGATATTGTTCAAACTTAGAATCAAGATAACGAGCGCTACGACGCTACACATATTTTGGCGAGTCACGCGAGCTGTTTAACCAGCTGGACGCCCAGCTGACCCAGCTCTTAACGGAGCCACACCACCACGACTGACACATTGTCCGATGTGCCACGAAATAGAGCTTCCTGCACCAAGTAATTGGCGATCTGCACCTTACGTCGTCTGCGCGCAGCCTTGATCATGGACCGGTCACTCGTGTACTGCTGTGACCACTCGAAAATAGGCACGCGAGTATCGCTATGACCGCCGCTGCTCCAAGCCTCGCGTCCACCGAGCTCGCCACTCATGACGTCCTGCACAAACTCGACCACTTCACTGCTGGTGAACACGTCCCAGAGCCCATCCGATGCAATCACGATGAACTCGTCCTTGTCGTACTCGATGTCGTACTGCCGGATCTCAACTTCCCCAATGACATATGGCCGCGAGTCGCGGTCGCCAATAGCTCGCGCTACGGCCAAGTTGCCATTCACCCGGTATGCTCCGTACGGCTCGATCGGCTCGCCTTGAGCGTCTACGTAGCCAAACCACTGGACTCGACCTCCTAGTGACTCAATCCGCGCGCGTTCCTGTGGGTCGTTCGGTTTGTGGTCCCGCGTGAGGTCGACAACTTGTCCCGATCGACACAAGACTGCGCGACTGTCGCCGACATTCAGCGAGTACAGCACGTCTTCAAACATCAACACGCCCACGGCTGTCGAGCCCTGGAACTTCCACTCGTTCTTGGAAATCACTTGGTCGTCGAGTTTGTGCACGGCGTCGCGCAGTATCGTTGCAATCTTTTGCCGTCGACTCAGTCGCGTGCTCGCTTTCGAGTCCCCGTGCACCTCTTGGTCCACGCGCGCTACTTCCGGCGCAATCGTCGCAAACAGCTGGTCCCGTAGAAACTGCGACACGGCCGCACCGCCATGGCCGTCGTAGACTGCTGCAAACCGTTTGCAAGAAGAGACATACGACGTGTCCTCCATGTACGCGCGGTCGCCCCGCACAGCAGCTGTACTCACGACCACACTGCCGTCCTTGACACTCGACTTGCGCTTCTTCAGCGCGTGTTTCGTGCCCGCCGGCACTTGCCCTGCGGCCGCTGGACCGTTGTCTTCGTCTTTCTGCTGCAACGGCGCCACCTTTCGCTGCTTCCTGTCAGTGGTCAGGTCGTGGGCGTCGGCCGCTGGTTCGTGTACCACTGCACCTGCAACACCCAACGCAGCGAGCGCCAGTCCCACCCACACGCGGCCGTCGCGCTGGTCCACTGCATCAGCAGCTGCAGCGTCCGACAGATGTGGCCACTGCTCTGCGCTAGTCGAACGGGTGCGAGACGAGAGCGTTCGCAGTGCAGTCAACGGCGGCCACGAGCGCAGCGGCGCGAGCGCTACGGACGTCCGACGCGACGACGGCGGCGGGCGGGCAGCGGTCAGCGCGCGGCCTCGTGCCCGGCGCACTGTCTGCATGCACGCAGCGGGTGACAGCGACTGAGTGAGCGCCTGACGAGAGAGAGAGAGAGAGAGAGAGTCCGATCGACTCGACGTCTGCTCAACGGCGACGTCTGCAACAGTCGAAAGGCTCTCGAGCTTCAAGGACGGCGACGGACTGTTTTTCAAAAAAGTGGATTGTAACACAAGTGTCCTGGCGACAGCCTTGCTTGTTTAAAAAAGCACAATTTACGTCGAGGGGTAGTTCCGCTCGCGCGCTTGTTTGTAGTTTGCGTGTGCATGCAGTGGCTACATACGATGATGATGATGCATTCGGTGTGCATCCAGATGTGAATCAAAGCAAAAAGAGATCCCACATACGCTTGCGCACGAGCACGTCGGTTGCCGGCTGTTTTCCCCGCTTTTTCGTCGATCAGTGCGCCAGTCGTCGTGTTGCACACAAAGAGCTCTCGCGTCAACACCCGGTGATCGGTCAGGCCACAATGTGCTCGTCGCTCTCTCTTTCTTCACGGGATCAGCTAGCTCTCCTTGGAATCCATGGGTTTCCAGCGACTCGGCAATCGCTCTCGTGCCGGTCGACCTTTGCACCACACGAACATAATGATCGCGAGCACATAGACCAGCAGAAAAAGCGCCACGATGTGCTGTACGCGCATCGATCGAAAGCCGGCAATGCTGCTGGTCATAGCGTCTTCGATCAGCAACTGTCGTGCCTCCATCGAGAACTGAATGGCCAAAATCTCAATCGTTGCGTAGATCGTCGTGTCGACGGGTGTGATCTGGGTAGCTGGTCGTCCGTCCGGCAACGAGTCCGTGCCAATGTAGTAGCAGCACTCTTTGTGAGCATACACGGCCTGGAAGATCCGGTAGTCGCGCGGGTCGCCTTCGAGCGAATACTCTTGAATATGGCTCATCACAAGCGGCTGGTCCTCCTTGCCGTCCAGCTTGATGGTGTTTCGGTGGAAAAATATAAGGTTGCCCTGCATGTCGTGCTGAATCATAGCAAGCCCGCAAAACACTCCTTTCTCCTTCATCAGGTCCAATCCGCCCACTGCAGGCGGATACTTGACAAGGTGGAAAGGCTGACTACTGTTGAGCCACGCCAGTCGGAAAAGGTCTTTGTCTCCCCAAAGGAGATTCAACTTCTCCAGCAACCGGGGCTGATGCGTCGAGTAGAACATAAGCTTGTCCAACGCCCGCTTACTGCGCAGCCGGTCAATCAGCACTTGTCCGCTTTCTTGCTCAAACATGTCTACGTACTTTATACCGGTGAGCTGCCACAATAGACTTGTGTTCGACAGCTGGAAGAGCGAATTGGATGGTTGCCAGTAGTCGGGCCAAAATACGGCACCCGTGCGCAAGAACTCTGGCTCGTCGAACAAATACGTAGGGTCTTTTGCAGGCAAGTTGTCCGCATCGAGCAGCAACACGTTGTCAAAGCTGCTATAGTACACTGCATACGGCTTGACATGGAATCCCGTTGCACGGCGGTCAAAGATCGGCCGCATCCGTACGTTGTACTCGGATAAGAGCTTGTAAATAATCGGATTGTCGATCGACATTTCGTCTGGCCGATACCATAGCTCGACAGGTAGCACGCAGCCTTGAAGACGCAACATCCGAATCGTTGCGTACGCCGATGGCAGCACACGGTCGTAAATGATCATCAACACGCCATTCGTCGGCTGCCGTCTGCTTGTCGCTGCTAACTGCAGCGCTAGCGTCGGTGCCACTGGCTTGTGCTCATAACCGATAGAGTGGTATCCAAACTCGGAGAAATCGCGCGCCATGTCGCACGTATACGATCCCGTGCGCAGCGAGTCGCACGAGCTGATCATGAGCTGATACAAGTCCCCGGACGTCCGATTCCGCACGATGCAGTAGCCAGCCATTTGGATGCCGATCTCTTCCGAGCAGTCCAAAATGTCCTTTTCAGGCTCTGGTGGTGGCTCGCTCGGTGTTTCACCTGCCGGCTTCTGTTCCCGACACGAGTGGATGCGCTTCCAGCCCACGCACTCAAAGCTCGCGTTGGTCCACGGCGACCCTACAAACGTCGGCTTCATGTGGATCCCGTCGTCTTTTGTCTGTGTGATGACGTTGTTGATCTCCACGTCGCGCGGCTGTCCTACCACCGGTTCTTTTTGGGTCGACCGCAGGCCCATGTAGAAGCTCAAGGACACGAGCAAGAGCCACTTCTTGTGCTTCACGCGCTGCAGCAGCGTCCACAGCGAGTAGAGGAGGAGGCAGATACGTTGCAGCAGCATCTCAGACATCGAGTCTGCGTCTACGTGTAGCAAAGGACGTGGCAGCAGCAGCAGCAGCAGAGCAGCGCTACTCGCGGGTCAGCAGCGCGGACGGTGGCGTATGCTTGTTGTTGTGCTTGTCAAGTGTACCCACTTGGTGGTACGATCACGATGGACGCAATTAGACGACGATCGCTGTTGCGATAAGACAGCGAGAACAGTGTACCCATTTTCGAACAAGCGAACGGATACTGTACCTATGTGCAGTGAACATTGGCACACGTGTGGAAGATCTGTAGGAACAATCGAAGGAACGCACGTCGCACGTCCATTGTCGCACAACGTGGCACCACAACATGTTACGTGTCACGGTTTCCTCCGATAACTGGGCTCTCCCGACACAACAAACCGCTCAGAGATGGCGGACGCAGCCGCCCCAAACGCTTCCTCCTTTTTCGACACGCGAGCGCGTGCACGAGCGCTCATGTTAGAGACTGTGCGACGCATGGCCCGCGACGAATCTGGGTGACCGAGACCAGCGCCCAGTCCCACTACTGGCAGTCTTGCGGTCGAGTCGGCTTGTGTCCTCGAGCTTTGGAGTCGATATTGGTGAAGGAGGGAGCGGACGGACTGACGAAATGCGGCGACCACGTGCGTGAGCCACACGAATGGCACTGTCCACTGGATGAAGAGATACACGACGAACACGAGCAGCAGGTACTTGTTCGGGATCACAATGTGCAGCACACAGCTCACGATGAGGTAGAGCAGTATGCGCGCCGTGTAAAACGTGTCTTCCCAGGAAAACATGAGCTCGAGGTTGTTGATGATGCTTGACCACCACGCCATGTTGTTCTGCACCGACTGCAACGTATGCTGGGTCTCGTTGTCGATGGTCACGTTAGTCATCTTGTTCATGAGATGGTTGAAGCCCGATGGAAGATTGTATTGACGGAACGAACCGCTGCTCATGTCGTTGTCCGCAGCATTCACGCCCGCGCCGCCGGGTTGATCTTTACCAGTGAACGAGTTGAAGTTCAACTCGAAATAGTTGCGGAGCACGAAGACAATGAGAGCAAGATGGATGACCACCGGCAGCCACTGCAACGAAAGGCACAGCCATACGCACAATGCGAAGCACATGAAGGAGTGCGTCGGATGTTCCCAGTTGAGTGTTGGCAGAATTTGCCATGCAACCTCTAGATACGGCCACAAATTGTCGAGCAGCACCCAGAAATTGCTGTACAACTGCGCTGCTTGGAATTCCGGCCACTCGTGGACGTAGTCCTGCTCGGACGAAAAGTAGCTACACAGCTCGGCCATTTGCGAGAACTTGTAGTGCAACAGGACGTGGATGCGCCCTGCTCGCGCGTCATTGTTGAGTCCTGCGCGGTGCAGCTTTTCTGGCAGCAACAGATCCAGCCACTTGTTATGTCGTCGCTGGTCCATAATCTGCGAAAGCGGGATGGACGTCTCACCAAGCTTTGTAGGTTGACTCAGCTGGCCATGGTTGTACACCTCAAGCACGAGCTCAGCTCCAGGTGCGCACACATTGAACACAAAGGTTTCATGCCACCGCGGATTCAGCGTGCGTGATTTCTTCTTCGTGCATTTGATGCTTTTCAGATCGTTTCCCCACTGTTGGCCGTGCGACCATTTGCCCGTCAGCATCACGCGCACGAAAGGGTCGCTCGTGATCGAGTCCGTCGATGGCAGTCCGATCGCCTCGACCACCTTTACATACAGCTGTCCAATGTGCACACGTCCTTCAATCGCCGGGTCCGGTTTGCTCTGGATCTGTCCATTCCACGAGTCAAGCAACTCTCAACCACAATCGTCACGTCTTGCCAGCTGTCAGCACCCCCACCGCACCTCTGCTGACGAGTGGCCCGACCATTCCAGCGATGCAAAGTGCTCGTCCACTGCAGCATAGCACGTGTTGCAGACTCGCATGGGCTGTACAAACACCCACAACCGCCACAAACAGTCAGTAAGCAGCACCATCTCTCCCTACCGCCTCAAAATTGTACTGTGCGGCCATACAAATGGGTCCGTGGACGAGATGCGACGCTTGTGAGGAGAGCAGTTGTGGCACACGACGTTGCCACAGCGTCGACAGTGATGCTGCAATCATAGACAAAGCACCGAAAGAACGAACACGACGTGTGCCCTTGACAGTGAGTGAACAGGCAGTTGTGACCCAACAATTGTATCAAAAGTGGCGACCAACAGCCGCACCTTGCGCGTGATCACTGTAAAGGGCGTGTTGCAGTGCATGCAGTTGCTGGTCTCGTCATCGTACACCCACTTGAGCTCTCGATCGCTTCCGCTCCTATTCGACGCCACGAGCGCTGTGCTGCGGCCTTGATTGCGCGCCGCCGCCGACGGGAGACTGCCGAAGAGCGTGGCCATCGGCGCGGCGACAAAGGGATACGCGCGGCACGGCCAGCTGTGATTCGCGTAAATTCGGTCGCGCTTTTCGACCAATCACACAGCGGTATCCAGCTGAGCCACGATCCGACCGGAAGACCACGCGTCAGTATCGATCGCGTCGACCGTCCGGCCCTCAGTGTACGTACGTCCTGCATGTCGACCCTGCGGCAGCGTACCGGTCGTGCAGACGATGCGTCGTCGTCGTCGACAGCAGTGAGCGCATCGTCGTCTGCGCTGAACGAGACGCCGACGGCGTCGGAAGGCCGTGTGGATTGCCCCCAAAGCGAATCCGAAGCGAGCGACTGGTCGTCGGTGCTCCTCCTCCTCCTGTTGTACACGCTGCAGGGCATTCCGATGGGTCTGTCCAGCAGCATTCCGTTCATTTTGCAGGAGAAAGTCGGCTACGGCGACCAAGCGACGTTCAGTCTCGTGTCATGGCCGTTCAGTCTCAAGCTCCTCTGGGCGCCGTTCGTGGACTCGCTGTACAGCGAGCGCTTTGGCCGTCGCAAGTCGTGGCTCATTCCCGTGCAGTTTGTCTGTGCAGGCATGATGGTCATTGGCAGCTGGTTCATGGACGACATGCTCGGGGAAGGCGAGGGCCAGACGCCGCACGTCGTGTACCTCACGGTGTTTTTCTTCGTGCTGTACTTCATCATGGCTACACAAGACATTGCTGTCGATGGCTGGGCCATCACAATGCTCTCGAAGAAGAACGTTGGCCATGCATCCACGTGCAATACAGTGGGTCAAACGGTTGGCTACTTTGTGGCCTACGTGGGCTTTCTGGCACTGAACGACCCAGCGACATGCAACAGCTACTTGCGCACTGATCCAGCGGACGACGGCATGGTGTCACTGCCGGGCTTTATGCGCTTCTGGGGCTGGATCATGTTCTTTACGACGCTGGGTGTGTGGATGTTCAAGCACGAGAAGCCAGAGGACGAGGGGAGTGAGCGGTTGAGCATTGCTCAGACTTATGCGCAGATGTACTCGGTGCTGCGTCTGCCAAGCGTCGTGTCGCTGTCAGTGGTGCTACTTACGAGCAAGATTGGGTTTGCTGCTGCGGAGAGTGTGGCGTCGCTGAAGCTGGTGGAATACGGAATGAAGAAGGAGAAGCTGGCTTTGCTGACACCGATTCTGATCCCGCTTGGGATTGTGATCCCTGTGATGATCAGTCGATGGATTAAACCGTCACAGCCGCTCAACCTGTTTCTCTGGGGTTACCCAGTGCGACTCGCGGTAGGGCTTTTGTATGCCGGGCTCGTGTACGTCACGCCGATGGTGATGGCTCAGGAAGAGAGCTCTCACTTTGCTTTCTACGGCATGATCTTGGTCATCGGTGCACTGCACGAAGTGGCGGCCAACATGATGTACGTCCCGCAGATGGCCTTCTACGCCCGTATCAGCGATCCGTCCATTGGTGGCACCTACATGACTTTCCTCAACACTGTCACAAATTTGGGCTCCAAGTGGCCCAACTCGCTCAGTCTTGCTGTCGTAGACCGTCTCACCACGCGAGAGTGTCTGGGCGGCAACTTCCACGACGAAGTGCTGGACATTGGATCCCGCACGTGCTCGGATGCCGAGGAGCGGAAGGTCTGTGTGGATGCTGGTGGCGAGTGCCTCATTGTGCGTGACGGCTTCTATGTGGAGTCTGTCATATGTTTGGTGATTGGCGTGGTCTGGCTGCTCTTCTTCTACCGTCGCATCCAGTTTCTGCAAAACCTCAAGATCCACAAGTGGCGCGTGAATGGGACGGCCGAGTAGTAGAGTATCGAGCATATTGACGCATACATACAGTGTAGGTATGAGCAATCGATTCTTCTGCTTCTCGGAAAGCGATACGTTCTTAGCGTTGTGTATGGATTCCTGTCTTATTGTTACGATAAGCGATTAGCATAGCTAGGGATTAGACTACGCGCAATACATATTAACTCGTTCTCTAGCACACGCACCCTCGTTTCTTCTAGCTAGAAAACGACTCGTTGTTCTAGCATGTGCAGCCACTTGCTACGTCGTCGTAGCCGACCGATGGCGCTGCACATACTCCAACTGCGACGAGCGCACTCGGGGGGACCGGAATACTTCGCGCGGTGCAAAGTCCAGACGCATCTTCTTCTCATTGCCAGAGTCGTGGTACGCAGACTCAAGATTTATCTCAAACATCTTGATCACCTTTGCCATGTCTTCGTCATCATCGTCTTCAAATTGCGATTCCTTGAACACTGCACTTGGGTTTTGTCGCGCGAGCCTCACTTTCTCTTCCAGCGTTTGCAATTTAGCGCTATCACTATTCCGGGAACTCGCCGGTCTTGCCAGAGTGAGATCGTGTGCTTCATTCTCGTCGTCGCTGCTGCAAGACTCCTGAACACGCTTGTCTGCCACGTTCACGCCAGGCTCAGCAGCGGACTCTGTCTTCGTGTCGGAATGCAGTGAAGCAGGGGGCGACTTTTTCTTTTTGCGTTTTTTGCGCTTCTTCTTCCCGGACGAGACGTTGCAGTTATTCGAGTCGTTAAAGTCCAGCGAGTTCTCCCCGTGAAAATGGCAATTCTTCCTTGCCACTTCTTCAGCTTGGCGTTGCTGCACCGCAATCGGTGGCGTCTGTGGATTGCTGCCGCTGCCGTTGATAAAGCTTACCAGCTCATCAACGCTTGGCTGGTCAAACTCCACTAGCTCGTATTCTTCGGTAGAGAGATCGTGATCCAGCGAATCAAACATGTCAAAGTCAAACCCCGTCATGTCGCTGCGCAGCTCACAAGTGCAGTCAACATCAGGCGGATCTTCCAGCCCAAACTTCCTCCGCAGCTCGTCGGCTTCAGACGTTGCCGACATGATCTGTGCGATCGAGCGACACGTGAGGTCTACCAGTGGCTGAATATCCAAGTTCGAGGCAATTTTCGCCAAGTCACATAGCTCTTTTGACTCCAGTCGAACAAACGCGTCTTCCCATTCCATCATTGCCGTCTCAACGCGATCCACTTGCTGACTGTACAGACAACTGGGCACAGATACACAGAGAGAGAGAGAAAAAAAGACCGACAAACAGACAGACAACGAATCGCACTCAGTAACGCACAACGCACACCATTCTCTAGACCACACGATCGTCCATTCAACTAACAAAACAAAACACCACCAAACGTACGTGCAATAGGCGAGTGCACGCTGCACGCTTTCCGTTGGCACATCCACAACCGGGACGACGTGCGTTGCGCTGCTGTGCTTGGGCTTCTTCTCCATCAGCGCCCACAGCGTCGACGACATCATCGCCTGCTCGTACGTGACCTCAAACGTCGAGTCGTCCACACACTTGAGCTGCAGCGTCGAGCGGCGCGTCGCCACATCGTCTGAGTCGAGCGACTGCACTCTGTTGTCGTCACTGATCGTGACCGCTGCTGAGACACTGCGCGTGCGGCGTTCCTCGTCGCGCATTGCAGAGCTCGTGGGAGTGCTGGTACAACAAGGGCCGTATCTCGCCAACTAGCGCAAACGTGGTGCTCCTGTCTGCGCCACACGATCGATCCGTGTCTTGTGTACACACTCGGCTAGCGAAAGCGGGTGCGGAGGTCGTATGTACGTGCAGAGACGCGGGGCCGCGTCAGCGTCGGCTACGTCGTGAAGCTCCGTGTTCGTGGGCTCGAGCGTGGATCAGAATAGAGAGGTCCTTAGTGAAATCAAGTCAACTGATTCGGTTCGGTCACGCGAGCGACACAAAGGTTCGATATCGATTCTGACAAGTTAGCTGCGGCATCTAATTGGCTGGAAACGTGTGCGGGGTAGGGGGCGAATATCGAAAGGGATTTCTATTGCAAACAGTGGGACGGACAGCTTGTGGCGAGCACGTTAGCAATAACACAAACCGGTAAAGTTACGGCGGAACACTGTGCTGCGCCTGCTGATGTCCGTTGCAGCAACGTGTTGTCGTCCCGATACGTTGATCTCGCGTGTTTGACTTTTTGTATGGTAGGAAGTGACCGTTGAAGAGAGGCGACGTCATTGCAGCCGTCCAAGTTGAGGTCGAGTTGTGAAGTCCCATGCAGCGCAAATGTCCGTAGGTGGGTAAAGGTCATAGGCATAACCGCGTGAGGGGAAATAGTTGAGCAGTAATGATGGGACAGCGCAGGCAGAAGCCCTGAGCTCGTTGTCCATCTGTCTGCGACCACCGAAATCTGCGTAATTGCTGCCCCAAATTTGGCTTGTCACGAAAAAAGATGGAGACGACACTCGTGCAGCTGAAAGCTGCTGGCACGTCGACGGCGAGTAAAGTAGAGACCTGCTTGGAAACGGTCAAGCTGACTCAGATAGAGACAAAGCGGTGTGAGCACGCTCGCTATGCTTTGGGAGCAGCCATTGCTTATCGTGTCTTGCATGACAGGTGCTGGAAGACCACTGGACGACGAACACCTGTGCCGTCAAAGCATATGGATTGTGCGAATAGTTCACAGCAAGTACGATTTCGCTATCGAACCGCGGGCAGTTGCCATGTGTGACGAACGTATCTGTCACGCTCCATAGCGTTTGTTACGGCAGTAAGGCGTTGCAGTGCAATTGGGGCAAGACGGACATATACAGCATACGCAATGGTGACTCGACCCACTTTGTCAATTGCAAACGTCTTTTGCACACACACACCGACCACGACTGTTATCTCCATGTACGCGCAGCGATTCTGCCAGCGCTTCAGCTACAGATAGACACTTCTACGCATGTCTTGACGAAGAGAGATACACACGGACAAACCTCTGCAAACATCGACGAAAAGCCGGCGCGTCATTTCTTGGCCTTGCAAGCGCGAGTGCGTTTGGTGGTGACAGGGGGCTCGGGGGCAGTAGGAGCCCCGGGGACGATAGGAGGCTTGGGGACGATAGGAGGCTCCACCATAGCAGTCGGCGTGGTGGTTAAAGACGTAAAGTTGGTGGAGGGGACTGTTGTTGCAGAGGGTGTGGTCGTGATCGTCGTCGTCGGGGTGGGCGGCCCCATCGTGTACGAGGGCTCTTGTACCTTCGTAGCTATAGTCACGCGATCGTCTTGAGTCTGCTCTTGTGCTTGGCCGGTCGTCGAGGAGTTGGTAGCGCTCTTGCTGTCGCATGCCTCCGTTTCACCAGCCCCGAACTCCTGCGCCCAAAAGTGCTTGTGCTTACTTCCCGCGCTGTAGGCATACGCGATGCCCATCATGGTGTAGTCGGTGCCCAGAATGTTCGCGCGGTGGCCGTCCGAGTCCATCCAAGACTGCATGACGGAAGCCACGTCGTTCTGGCCGGCAGCGACGTTCTCCGCGATGGCGTCCCATTCGTAGCCAGTGGCTGAAATGCGCTGCGTCATAGTTGAGCCGTCTGAGCCCGCGTGGTCCATAAAGTCGTGCGCAGCCATATCGTCTCCGTGACGTTTGGCAGCAGCTGAGAGCTTCTTGTTGATGCACAGCTCTGCAAGACCCGCCTTGGACCGCTCGTCGTTCACAGCGTCCAACGTCTCTTGGTAGTACTCGCTATACTGTGTGTACGTCTGCGCATTGCGTGGCATGATGGGCAGCTTGTCTGAAGCTGTGACGGCAGTATTGAACGATGCCGGGCATACTACCAGCAGAGCCAGTGGCAACAAATGCTTCGTGATCATCTTGTCCAGTGTCAGCGTCGACCTAACTGTCCGAAGGTGTCGCTTTGAATCGAGTTGCTTCGAGTCGTCGAGATTACAAGTGGGTGCTACTTCTCTCGGCGCCTGACAGAGCAAACATCGCTTCTACGAGCAGGACAAGGAAGGCAGCAGCAGGTGTGGGTAGTGAAAAGCTGCCGTCTAGGAAGAGAGTGGGATTTTGGGGGTTGACACCGAACGTTCGTTGCGTCGTCGCAGGTATCACGTAAGTATGGAAAGGACAGCGATGTTCTTGAGATAGCAGTGCCACCCGCGCACCGATTGCGTCTTGGCCACAAGTACTGAGTTGGCCACGTCGGACGAAAGATTGGCCGCCGTGCGTGGCGAGGAAAGGCCCGTGAGTTGACTGTCTGCCACAAATGCTGTCGAGCAGCTGTAAGAGCCACATCGGCTGTTTATTTCGCGGAGGACGGGCGCTTTGCTGTGCGGTTGACCACTAGTTTTCAGCTCATAGGCTGCCCGTCGTTAGCAGAGAAAGAAAGAGAGAGAGTGTCGGTGCCGTCAGCTAAGGCACTGTCCACACCATCGTTTTTCTTGTGTCTCGTGGCCAACGACGTGGCGGGACGTTCCAGGATCAGTTTGTGGTCGGATGAACACTCGTTGGGCGATCGCAGAAGATGTCACGACGGACTACGAGAGAAGATGACGTAGCAACAGATGGCTCATGCTGTCAAGAGAGTTGATCATTGAGTAGCAAGATAAGATGGACTCTGACCCATGACAGCATTCGTCATTGAGTCGTGCCACAATGAGGACCACCTGGACAAGCTGACGAGTGGCTTCTGATGCGTATAACACGATATTTTCTGGTGGTACATTCGAGCTAGTCCCATCAGGGCGGCGATAAGGCCACTCTTTCGATATCGCACTTGACACTTGCGTTGCGCAGACGCTCGGGTAGCAATCAGATGACGACAATCGTTGACGTACGACGATGTCGTCAGTCGAGAATGTGGATGAGAATCAAATAAAGAGTCAAGCAAATGCCTCGGTAGGCGTCGAGCCGCATAGAGTATGGACTAAGGACCTGAGTGATTTCGCGTTGGTATGAACTAGCTCAGGCACCTCAGTCACAGCTGGGGGTACGTGGTGAGCACGTTGCATGTCGTTGACATCAATTTCCACAGTCCATGTGGATAATTATCTCGGTGAATTCAAGTCAACAATTATTTATTTAGAAGGGGGCACAGCTAACAAATTGATCTTCTGCAAGCAGATACTATACGGACATATCTTCTGCATAGTGCCCGATGAGCAGCGCTTCACGACACTCTGCTTATTTGCTGACGGAAGCCATAGTGGCGTTACGGAATTCGACTGACGACGAAGTTTGTACGTACATATCACGACATCGATTGTCGATTAGTAGGTTGATGCGTACTGTCCATTCTACCCATGAACAAGCAGGACTAGTAGTAAAAGTGAGGCATATTGAGGAACGATTAGCGACTAGCAATACCCTATCAACAAGCAGGACTATGACGTTACTGTTATATTGAAGTGGTCGGTGGATCGATTGGCAGGCATCCATGTTCCTCGCTTTTCCTATGAACGTCAGTTCAAGTGCCATCCCTGCGTTAATTTGTCTTCGATGAGACTGCGTCATTCAGGCCAGGACGTGCCGACCTTGCCGTTCACGGACATGTTTTGTCACCAAGTGCGGCACCGAGGCGTGGACGAATTAGAATGGTAGAAAAAGTAAGGAAAATAGCGCTTGCATTGCTGACATAACAAGGTTGTTTTACGAAATCGGGGCGATGTAAAAAAAGATGCATCACGTAGATACAGTATGATCTTACAGCACGTGTGTGGGCTGGTTGGAAAAGAGGATCGTTTGCAAGATTTCCATACATTAGTTATCTCAAAACAGCTTCTCAAACAGCAAACAAAAGTGCGGTATGAAGTCAACTCAATTCGGCCTCAAGTGTATCATCGATAGGCGCGTAAAAACGATGACAATATTTTCTTAATCGATCTGTAATTATAATGACGCAAGGGGCAAAACTTGCAAATAGCGTTTACGGTGGCACGTAGTTGAGAAAGGTATTGTGTTCACAATTGGGAAGAGGGAGGCGGCGGTGTGAGAGAAAGGTAAACATAGCGCATTTTAGCGCATAATTATATTTGCCAGAATATATCAAAGTGCATCTTCTTCGACAGTATCTCCAAGGCGTGCCGAAACGAGATACTTTTTACTGCATGCGACATAAGTGTAATTGAATCGCATATTTTCGGCTGCCTCTGCATTTTGTCTTCAAGCAATTAAGTCTTAAATACCTCCAGAAAAGTCAATGATGTTGGCTACAAAACCTTTGCAATTACTCGGACTTATCGCATCACAATACTCGGCTTACTGTCTAGTGTACTTGGTCTCAGTATCAAATGATTCAAGAGTTGCCTTTTTTTATTTCAACAACACTGTGTAGCCCACATCATAAAAGAGTCGATTATAGGTCATGACAAAGGTCGACGCACAGTTAACGATATATTTGTGAGCTAGCTGATATCCTATGGCAATGTTTCTGGAGCTTTTGGATCTCTTGTGACAAAACGATGGACGAAATGCTGGCATAAAATGCCAAGACCCGGTACTTTATAGCACTCGAAGGTGCTAGTTAGCACTGAATGTATAACGATAGTCCAATCAAGGGCGCCGTATCGTAATAACGCCACAAAGCATTATACAATGGATCAAACCACGCACTGCAGTCATTACCTAGTTGAGCGAGCAAACAAAACTGGTTTCAGCGTAGACATCTGGACCGATCCGCCATACATGTTGGGCTTTTGAATTGTAAAAATGTCAAGCTTGATCATTGGGACGACGTTACGTAGGTTTTTTGTAAGTTGCACAGGATAGATGGTGTTGTATGTCTGATGTACTAGTCATGTGTGGTTGATGAGCGCGGGAAGTACTAGCTTTTGTACTATAGTGGAGTTATCAAGATTGCTCCCAAAACGATATGTTCGAAGTAGTCGTTAAGTAAAGTGCTTAACAAGATTCAGCTTTCCACATGCTATCACCTCCTTCTATATCGTTCATTCGAAGATTGCAAGTGGGCTATATATTATACATTTAAGGAAATACCAGCGTATGGAGGCGATCAACATCACCTTGAGAACTATTAGCGGCAAATTAAGAACAAAGCAAACATTGGTCGATCTCGAGTATGTGACATACCTTCTATAAGTGTGTAAGCATCTAGGACATTAAAACATAATGGTACATGAGTGACGCTAATTTATCAAAGTGAGTAGCTTGAGCGAGCATTAAGAGATATGGATATGGCCCACAAATTTTGGTTTCTATTCGTGTGCTGTATAAGTCGAAAGTGTCTGCATATTGCGAGCATTTTTAAAGGGTCATTATTATTAGGCCACGAATAGGGGCATAATCCACTTTAGCTATGGGCACACCCCATTTTTGCTACGGTCACACCTGCCGGCTAAAATAAAAAAAGGGCTTCACATTTTATAGTGCAGAATAAAATGCGTTTACGGTACAGTACAATTGTATGTAGAAGCAACTAACCGAATTGCTGAAAGTGTTTGGCCAAGGGATCTGGCGATTAGGTTTCCATCTTCTGCAAAAGAAAATGAACATGTCTATAATACCTTTCTTGGCCGCGCAATCGCGTCTATGTCCCCTCATGCTCATATTCATACAATACGACTGAAAACACCGGATAATAAACACACACCAGCTGAACGCACAAAATGGCGTACGAAAGCTTGAAAGAGGGAAAACCGTCGCTGGAATAGCTTCAAATCCTACCTGCCGCATTCAATGGCACCAGATTTTTTTTCGAGGAGCGAAATGGAAACAACCTCAAACGTTTTGCGGCTACCCAAGGGTATGCCATCGTCGCCATCAGATCAAAGAAAACGAAGTGGGGTCTGCAACTGGTCTACTACAAGTGCGATCGTGGCGGGACCTAAAGAGAACAGTCATAACCTCAGCGACGGTGAAAGGAAGCAACAAAACTCTAGCATGTTGATTGTATGCTTCGTGCGCGATTGTTTTCTGCATCTTCTTACCCGAAATGATCTGCCCGAAGTGAGACATTTAACAGTATATACCCGTACGTACCTCGTCACAGACGGTAGAATCAAGTTACACACATACTGCAAGAGGTACGTCTTTGCCCCTTCATGTCTCGGCAAAAAAACGTCGAAAAAATCGAGTCGTTGACACTGCCGATGGTCAGGTCACTCGGCATCGTACCATCGGATTGATTACCGTGTTCGAGACAGTGAGAGATGTCAGCAGCCATGGCTAGATAGATAACCGCTATGGCCACGATGTATTGATAGAATCTCGCGCAAGAGTGGATATGCCGTATCGGGTTGGGAGATAGGGAGAAGTAGTAAGGGACTACGTGTTTTACATGTTATTCTGCATTATAAATTGTGAAGTCCTTTTTATCAGTTTAGGTGGGCGGGTGTGCCCGTAGCAAAAATGGGGTGTGCCCATAGCAAAAGTGGGGTGTGTCCCTAGTCGTTGCCTTATTATGAATATGTCCATAACAACTACGAGCTTACTAAACACGTTCCGCAATGTAGGAAGATATATTGCATAGCAGCAATGTGAATCACGCCAATTTGTGAGAGAGGAGGTGTTTTCGGACTTAGTCCGAGCTCATATTAGGATAAAATAAGGTACGAGAAAATCAACAATATTTAAATATTGTGATTGATGCTTCAATGATTGTACCTTTACCCATACCACACACCCATCCAAGCATCCAATTATGGTCCGAATGATACGTGTTCAAATTCAAAACACGATCAGTATGTATAAAATCGTCCGTTTCATGATCAATTGATCCAAATCATTTTTCGGTGGTATCTCTTCGCGTTTAAAAGACTCGTAAACACTAGTGCAAGGTCGCGAAAAAGAAAAGTATGTGGTGGTTTGGGTGACGCTCACCGGATTGCGATCGATTTAGACGAGGCGTTGAAGT